GACTGCAGTTTTTTGACATTGCAGGGCCATTTCTGGTGGACTTTAGACTCCCACTTGAGCCCCAATGCTAAATTGCTACAATCCAACATTGGACAAGCTGCATAAAGCTGTAAAGAATAAGTGACCAGGCATGCTATTGTGTGATGTGATTTTGTTGCATGACAATGCTCAACTGCATGTTGCAAATATTTCACAGGATGCTTTAGTGTGTAAAGGTTGGGAGGTTCTGCACCATCCTTCCTACATTCTCAATCTGTTATCATGTGACTTTCATTTGTTCAGATCTTTAAAAAAAAAACTCTTAAGGAACAACACACTCTCCACTGCAGAAGTCAAGGAAGCAGTCATCGAATGGTTCAAGGACCAACCAACATTGTTCTTCACAGATGGTATCCATTCTCTCCCCAAGCAGTGGGATGCATGTCTGAATGCCTATGATGCCTTTTTTTAATGAACAAAGTGCATTTCGACTTCCTCATGTATTGCTTTGTTTAATTATTCCATACCGATAGATGTACTAGGTTGTTTGTCTTAATATATTTACTCAAATGGGTTTCATTTGATCAATCCTTGTACAATAGTTTTAAAAACAAAAATGTGTAATAAACACCTCTTAAAACTGGTTTAAGTCCAAATTAGCAGAGTAACATACAGACTTTTTTTTTTATCAAATCCATCCAACAAACAAAGCGATAATTACAGATACATCGTACTAACCTTGTAAAGCTTTGCAGTTACTATTTAAAAAAGTATCTGTAAACTTTATGTTGCTTTGTTAATTTGTTGCATTTTATGATTTGTTTTATTGAAGTTAAAAGATATAAAATGATTTGTTTCTCTTTCTTTACTCTGTAGTAAAAATACATGTTATACTGTAATTTATAAAAGTTTGAAACAATAAGAAAAGTAGTATATTCATATATATACATGTTTGTCTTGGATAATGTGGAACCTTAGTTGAGGCTTTACTCAGAGTTTTACTGTATGAAGATTGAATTGTATATCAAAGCAAAATGATATACTGAAAATGCTATGAATTTTATTAACTTAAGATGGAGAATGAAATCTTAATGTATTCAAAGTAGGATTTTCATTTATCCTTTTAATTAAAGTCTTGCTGTATTGGAGTCCAAGTCAGATAATTCAAATTTAAATTTATTAATATAATTAATAAAGTTCTTGGTTGAACTTGTTAGCAACATTGTATATGTTTCTTCTTAATCTGTAATGGAATTTTTCTGGAATGTTAATCATCATTGTCCTAGAGCTCTAATAATATTCTCATTGTTATTTTTGTTTTAATAAACTTTGCAAAATAAGTTTTTAATTTTACAATTGTTTTAAAATTCAATATAGCTATTTTTATGATGTATTTTTCTTTTTAGTGTTTATAAGAAGTTGTATCACTTCTTAATTTTTCTACTATAAATTAGACATAAAAATACATAATATAAACAAAGCCAAAATCTTAAAGCCAGTCAGAAATCTAAAATGTCAGATTATTTTCAGGCTGTATATTAAGTTAAACAATGCAATTTGTATTCCTTTTAAAATCAATTTTTCAAAAAATATTTCCTCAAAAAATTGATGAAACTTCATGGGTTAATTCTACAGAAATAACCATCATTATTTTGCTTAACTTAAAACAGGTTAGTTAACTATTGTATAAATATATCCTATTGTTGTAATTTACTGTAAAAACAAATGTAATAATTGAATTTACCAATATATAGAAGTGTAAAAAACCTGAAGAGGGGTGCAAGTGATATGAAAATATTCAACCCAAAATGCATAGTAAGTAAGAAAATAAAGAATACGAAGATAAGCTTTTGTCTCTGATTAAATGCGGTCCAGGCAAAAAAACGATGGTTATTTCTGTAGAATTAACCCATGAAGTTTCATCAATTTTTTGAGGAAATATTTTTTGAAAAATTGATTTTAAAAGGAATATAAAGAAAACCACACCATTGATATATACATATCGATTACTTAATGCAATTTGTTTTAAAATAGGTGATTGAGCCATTATTATTATGCCAGTAATTTCAAAATTGATTTAATTATTAATCTGAATTTAAGGATGACTGAGGTTGGTTAAGCATCATCATACTGCTCTGAGGGGCTCAGGATCAAATTTAGACTTTGTTCTCTCAAAAAAATCTGTTTCTGATATGTTGGGCCTTATTTGTAATTATCCTGCTGCTTCTACTGTGTTATGGCCAAACCCCATGATGTGTATGAAAGTAGGTCATTCTTTGTCTGCATTCACAATCAAAAGTTAGAATTAAAGTTAGCCAATAAATATTCTTGCACTAAACTATAGTGAATGATGATTGGTTTACTTTAACTTATACTTTTGTATTTTTGGGATGGTTCAAACATTAAGCCAAAAGTCCAGTGTTTTAAGAAGGGATTCTAACACAATAATGTAAAAAGTACAGTTTTTGATGATTGTCCCCTTTGCCATATACATAGTGCTTAGTATGTGTTCCTAGATGACAGTGCTAAATGAAACAGCATTAAAACAAGGTCATTTTAACCCATAGTAAACAGAAAAAGGGAACATGCAACTAAAAATAAATTAATTTTACTTTAATTTTAAGTTATTTTTATATTAATTTGCATAATAATATCAATATATGCTACATAACACAAACATATGCACACAGAAATACAGTAGAGTATCAATTATCCAAATCAATTGGGAACTGGGATTGTTCAGAAAATCGATTTTTTGGATAACCGATTATGTACAAAAAAAAATATATTAACCTATCCCATGTTGAAGTTCGTTCAAATCTTGGCACGTCCTTAAGTATCCTCTCATGGTTGCGCCAGTGCTGCCAGCTAAAACATACACATCAACAAAAATAATATTGGAGTAGCCCAAGACATAGCCAAAGATTGCACTGCCACAGCATCAGTGGAAATTTAAATTTGCCGATTGGAAAGCTTTTGATCAATTGATGTTTCGGTTGATCGACATTTGGATAATCAATGCTCTACTGTATAAAGTTCATTTTGTGATGAAGGTTCTGGCTCTTCTGAAATCCCTGAAATTCTTGTTTTTTTTTTGTTTTGTTTTTTTTTTATGAACTCATCTAGTGTCATTTGTTGCCTTTTTATTTTTCTTTCTTTAAGCAATTGTCGGTTGCAGGAGACTGCATTCAAACACCTTGCCTTGCTATTCTGCTCCTTTCAAAATCTGGATCATTTGCTACAATTTGATCAATGATTTCAGTTATCATTCTTTGGGTTCTTCGTTTTCAGAATCATTATTGCCAATCTGCTATTCTTGAAGGTTGTTGTTGATAAGAAACCTGCAGTAACTCCTCAATATCCTGCTCATTTACATCTCCTAGTTCTACTGTATTGATTAGGTTGACAATTTGGTCAACAATAGGCTCTTCTCATTGAGAATCCTTGGATACCTTCAGCCATACCTTCTTCCACACTCCATTCATGCATTCATCAGTTAATTCTGGCCATGCAAAGTCAATATTGCCTATGGCATTCATAATGTTATATTTTTTTTTCAAAATTGCACCAAACATAGGTTTAGGGGAAGTACAGTGCTACAATGAATTGTCACGTTTTGCTGATTGGCTCATGTTCGCGAATAATCATATTATATACAAATCAACGAAATGCCATGATAATTTGAATCAATGTAAATTTTGAGCTATTTTTAAGGCTTTGGGCAGACTGCTTTATATTGAATCAGCATTAATTAAGGAAGCGCTAAACAAGATCTTACTGTACTTAGTTTCTTTTTAATATATATATTTATATATTTTTTAATTTCTACTTGGATAACTTTTAAAATTTTTTGTATTTTATTTTCTCTCTACAGTATTGTGTGTTTTTATAATAATTTGAAATATTACTGCATAAATCATTTATAAAAGCAGAACAAACAATATTCTAGTAAATGTTTCAAATAGCAATATTTTTGAGTTAAGAAGAAAATTAAATATTTTGAAGATATTTGTTTTTACTTCTATAAGTTACTAAGAATAGAAATACAGGATGATTCAAAAGTCACAGGAATTTTAAATAATAATAATTCATGAACTATTTACAGTAAGATGAAGGTTTTCACAAATTTTGGTAACTATTTTGGTACTAAAATTTTTATTACACCTAAAAAAATCCTGCTTCTTTCTAAGCATTTCTGTGAAAACTGCATCATGTTGTTGTAAATAGTTTGAGAGTTATTAATTTTTTAAAATTTCTGTGACTTTTGAATCACCGTGTACTTGAATTTACTGTATTGTATAATTGAAGAATATTTTCTTAAATTTTAAGGCTTGCCAGTGGCCAAGTGGATAAAACCACTAAACACTGGTGATTGGTTGTGGCTTCATGCCTCACCAATGAACTGTCTGTGGAGTTTTGAGTTTATTCATGTTAATAACATCTAAATAGGGGCCAGTTTCCCATAGAAAGTCCTTTTGAAAGACATCTATCCCTTGGCAAATTATTCACAAGTCATGTTGCTGTATACAAATAAACCAAACTTAAATTCTAGTATATACAAATTTTTATTTTTGAAACTTTTGTAGCAAAATCTCCTGTTGTAAGATATATGAGTATATCAAAAAATTCTTTTTGAATGTGGTTTTTGTTTTTTGTAATATAGTTGGGTTTCAACTTGCATAAAACTGAGTTTTGCTAATATTGTAAATTTATTTCATAAAAAAATTATATACTTTTAACAAAGATCAAACATTTTGAAAGATGTAAAATTAAGTTCTTCTCATTGCTTGGTTTCTTTAGAATTTTAAGATAATAGTCATAGTTTTATTGTAGGCAGTTTAAATTAGTTATGTACTTTCTAATTGTATATAATAGTAAAATTATCTATAATCTGAAGAATACTTTATCGTATTAATCTTTTTCTTTTTAATAAATATTAAAATTAATAATATATAAAATTTCTGTAATATCTGTATTAAATTTAAATGATGTAATAACATTTTTTTTTTCTTTTTTTGTAGGAAGTGATGGAGAAGGTGATGATGTTGATGATGATGGAGAAGATGAAGGAACAATTCCTGATGATCAAGAAGATATGGAAGAAGATATGGAAGTAAAAGACGAAGGAGAACCAGAAATGGAAGAAGAAGAACAAAGTATTGAACAGCCTGAAGAACAAGATGTTCCACATGTTGATGATGAAATTGATGAAGAGGAAGAAGTAGAAGAATTAGAAGAACCTGAAACCCCTCCAAAACCAAAGAAAGAAAAAGGGAAAAAGCGCAAAACAAAAGGCGATGGTGAACGAAAGAAAGGAAAGAAGAAGAAGAAAAAGAAAGTCATGTCTGACAGTGCTGAGGTAAGAAAAATTTTAAATGCTACATTGAAAACATGAAATTAAAATATATTTTGTATTATAATTTCACTAAATGCAGAATATTGCTGATGATCTTAAATGAAAATTGGAAAATTATTTGATTGAAAATTTTTGGAAAAACTATTTATTTATTTATTTATTGCATATACAAAAGGAAATATCACAAGACAATTGATATTCTCCCCAAAAATAACTCTTGTAACAAAAGATTAAAATACAAATAACAAAGAATAAAAATCAATACACATGATAAAAAAAGTATATATAAGTAAAAATAGATGATATATTAAAAAGTAACTGACTACAAATGTGTTTAAAGTGTAGAAAATCTTCATGTAGAGATTGTTCCACACAACCCATTTTCTGAGTAGACTGATAAAAAAAAATGATCTGAAAGAAATGGAAAGCCTAAAAGATGGGATAAAGAAAAATTATGTTGAGAATAACTTGTGGCAGAACTCTTAAGCACAGCCAATCAGAATGAATGAAATCATAGAAATAGTTGTATGGAAATAAATGGTGAAAGTACTTGATATGTTTGATAAAATTGGGAATTTCCAATTTGCATCTAGCAGCATTAGCATTAGGGGTAAAAGGAAGGTGGGTGAGTTTATTTGAAATAAGAAATATTTTATATAATTCTTTTAAAAGTGTTTGTGAATGGGATGAGGCAGCTACAGCCCATATTGGCAGATAGGGTTTCTCATTTCCCGGTCTTTTGCTTGTCCCGGGACTCTGGGATAAAAGTGAACTGTTTCCCGAAATCCCGGGATAGAATCAATTATTTTCAAGGTATACAAAATATCTTGAAATTAAATAATATAATTATTTTTCATTTTTAAAGTAATTTTAAAGCTCTGTATCATCCAAAATCATATTAATAATGCTGTGTAAGATATATAATAAAAATTACCTTTGAATTACGTAGAAATTTGCACAAATAGAAAAAATTTATTAAAGTTCGCTAGAAACTGCATACAACAACAACAAAAATGCTTTGAATTGAGTTAAAAATGAAAAATTGAACTCATATCAAACTTATAACTTAGAAGGTAATTTTCGTTTTTTAAATAAAATATAATACAAAATATTGTAAACTTTTGATCAACTTTGCTTTTTAAAATCTTATAAAAGATTTTAAAAAGCAAAGGTGATCAATACTCCGATCACTCACTCTAATTCTTATTTTAGTAATGAAAAGTCTTGCCACCGAGAATGCCCTTTCCGATTCAATTGATGTGATTGGAATAGTGTTTAATGCATTTAAGAGAAGACAGATATTATGTGTTTTTTCACCTGTAGCCTGGAAGATTTCGAGTTTGTTTTCGAGATTGTAGTACTTCTTTTGCTCTCTAGTATTTTTGATTTGTCTACCTCGGCTGCTTTAATAGCGGCATCAAGCTTATAGCTCAATAATTCGGCAATTCGTTTGGCTTTAATAATCAGGTTTATGAAGAAAAACTTCATACTTGCAGACTTTATACTCGTTTGTATCTTTGCCCAATTTGCACAATCTGGCGTTACGCATTTATTGAAGCTACTGGGCATGGTTAAAAATTAAGACAACGTAAGCGCAATTATTCCATATATTACAAGTAAAGAATTTTCGGAGTCCTGGCACAAATAAGCTACGTATTGATTATCGACCAAATGTGACATGCCATAACGAGCAAAAATTTAAAAAAAAAAAACTAATAGGTAGGTTTAAAATTAATAAATACAAATGTATTCTGACAGTGAATGAGATAATTATGCTTTTTATTTGCAAAATTTCTTAACCTTAATACAAAATAAGAAAAAAGTGAATTTTTAAGAAATTTGCGGGATTTCCCGGGATAAGAGAAATTTCCCGGAATATTTCCCGGGTTAAAAAAACAACTGGGATCCCAGAATCCCATTTGAGAAACACGATTGGCAGACAATAATTGAGTAGAGACTAAATATTGGCAAAATAAATTGATCGCGAGACTGTTTTTGAAGAAATAGTTTTGCAATACCATAAAATGTCGATTTTATGATATTGCAAATATTTATGTATAATAGGTAAAAGAATTTTATAAGTAAAGTCAGAGTAGTGCATTAATAGTGATATTATCAGATTCAAGATAAGACCAATTCATGAAACAGAAGTGGGTGCCAACTTTTTTCTACTTAATTAGGGTTCATAAGGATATATTAAGGAATTGCTTCAATTTACCAGAATTTAAACAGGTAGAAACTTTAAGGCAAATAGGTATGTGGTCAGACAGAAAATCATTGGTTGGGTAGGCAGTAGCACTGGAGTTACTAATGAATGTTAAGTTGAGATAGTTTCTTTTCCATCAAAAGGGAATTCCTATCTGGAATAAATTTAAAAAATAAACTCCAGCAGAGTTCAAAACGTTATAATATGGACCTGAGGAACTCTGATAAATATTAGATAAATTAAAATCATCACACATTATGAATTTAAAACCAAAAGGAATAAAAAATAGAAAATGGTGAAGGATTTGAAAAACAGATTTTCTTAGGGTGAGGTGTAAAGACAATGTATAAGGTAAGTTTATGCTCAGGAATTTTTAAAATAAGAATAGAATCAAAATATTCAAATATTTTAGAAACTTGTGAAGATTGGGAAAAATAATTATTCTTTCACCTCTTTTGATTAATGCATTCTAAGGATATATGTGAATAACCCAATAGAGGAATAAAATTAGCAATATCATAAGACAATGAGGTAAATGAACTTTCAGTAATAACAAAAATCATCACTTAATATAGACAGGAGATAGGAGCATTTATTTTTGATGGAACAAACATTTTGCATAAATATTTTAATTGGGATATTTAAAGACATAATGGAAGAAAAAATATGTCTAAAAATATATGAAGAAAATAAAACAAAAATAAAAAAAAGTAAAATAAACAAAAAATAAAAATTAACTAATATTAGAAAAAATGATAAAATACAATAACAATTACAATGGATTGTGTGAGATCAAAAAAATAAGAGAGAAGAAATAGATCATTTTATGGTTTTTTAATATATATCACTATCAGAAAAAAAAAGCTGGCTGGTATAATTTTCTGTATTAATAGCAATTGTTGAAGGTGAATCCAGTATTAAATGGATAACTGATCATACACTGATGTAACACTGCAGATAGAGTTGTAAGAAGTTCAACAAGACGGATATCTTGATAAAAGATAGGAGGTTGTTCATTGGCTTAAATGCAAAGATGAACAAGTTGAAAATACTTGACATAGAATATGGATCATACAATTAAATGCAGCAAAAGTAATTAGTGGTCTATTTTAGAATATTTTTAACAAGTAATTTGGACTTTGTTTTAGGTGGAAAAATTTTAAAATTTATATAAATAATAATAATAATAATGATACTTAACTAGTAGTAGTAATTAACTTTTTTATGTCAATAAAAACTGGTCATAGTTGACAGAAAATGCCGAAACATCAAAAAACATGGAAAGCATTGAGCTTTCCTAAGACCTCACCTGATTTGTATTTAATTATGATAGAACAGTATTTTTGTACATCTTTGCTATCAAATAGGGAGTAATATCGCATTGCTAATTAAACATTTAGTTCCATAATGTGATGCAACTACACATGACAATATTTAAATATTGTGTTCCATCTGTTTAAATTTTGATTGTATTTGATTTATTTGAAAAGTGTTCTGTACAGTTCATTTTGCATTACCTGACTATTTGTTTTAATGAATTATAGTAAAGGTTCAGTATTTCGTAACATCCGATTTTTTGGCGTTTGGGTGTTATTTTCTGACAGTAATTAATGTTTGTAATATTTATGCATTTCTTTCCATCATACAAGGTCAGTGTATAACTTGAAAAATAAGTTATATATTATTATTTTTGCTTTTTAGATCGTGCAGTGCATTGAAAATCAGTTATCTGTTTTATGAATAATTGTTTTAAGTGAAGTTGTAATAGGAAAAAATTGCAAACATTTTTGGGCATTGCATAACTTCAGACTTCACAACAGCAAGGGCTACATGATAGCATAAATTGTTTGCTCAAGTTTTTATTATAACTTCCATTAAAGCAATTATAGTAAGCAGTTGACTTAGTTAATTTTTTTTGCATAAGTTGAATAGTCCTTAAATGTGATGTTTTAACTTGTATATTTATTTTAAAAGATAATCAAAGCTAAACAGCTTCTGCTTATATAAAGAAATACTTGGAAAAGAAACTTTTATTTTATCATCTAATTATATATGTTTAAAGTGATGCACGATAGATCATATTTTTAATCATAAGTTGAAGTATTGCAACTGTATATCTACAAATCCACAAAGACAGACACTTACTGTATGATTATAATTTTTCAAGCTATTTTATCTTCAAAAATTATTGTTGTTAACATTTTAAAAAAAATTATAATAATCATTCCATTCACATACTAAAACTTTTAATTACTGAAGATAATGTTGAATATACAGTATTAATTAAAATTCAAGGTTATACGTAAATATTGTGGACCTTGTGGATTTAAGTTGAATGTTTCCTTCTAGACAGTTTTTTCAACAGAGTTAGAATGAAAAATTAATAAATATGATTTTCTTACTTTAAATTAAACAATAGACTTTACAACTAATTTCATTGTTTTTTTTTTTAATGAAGAATATTGTTATATTTATCTTTCTGTGCATCTTAATACTTTAAATTTGTTAAAACAGCTTCAATTGTAAATTAAAATCAAGCACTGTAACAGGACTTAAATATTTCAAATAAAATACAGTCAAACCTGTCTATAATGAAACCTGTATATGGTATTACTTTTAAGTCATTTTTTAAATTAATCAGACATAAGAATGTTTGCCATTTATTATACATTTAATATAAGGAATGGCTAAAAAGTTTGAGGATTGTAGGGCCCAGTATGTTTATTCCATTTAGAGGAAATTGTCACTGGCTTTATGGCAATTGTCCCCATTCATGGATCGGGTTTATGATGCCTATTTGGTAGAATTTGACTGCTGCATAAAAAGTGACTGATACAGCTATCTTCATATTGTCTGATGGTATCATCTGAGACTTATTCAGATAATTTGAAGATACA